TTTTTTGAACATTAAAGCATGTCAACATATTCTGTTACACCAAATACACAAAATAATGATCTTTAAAAAAAGCGTCATATGACCCCTTTAAAATCATAACAAGAAATATTTTATTAGCTATGGTACCGTTTTTGAAATCAAATCTTTACATAGCTATGACAGTAAACACTGGAATCTAACAATGCCTTGGAAAAAAATAGTTAATCTTTAAAAAATTAAGCATGGCTATACATAAACCCATATAGGAAATAAAAGAGTTATCGAATAAGCATGTTGTAAACTCCTGAAAAGTCGGTGTTTCATATTTTAGAGCAGTCACTGCAATTTATGATTTATACATCATCTGAATAAATAAGGTTTCCATTGATGTATGGTTTGTTTGGATAGCACAATATTTGGCCGAGATACAACTATTTGAAAATCTGGAATCTGAGGGTGCAAAAAAATCAAAATATTTTAAATGTAAAGCGTTTTCCTCTCTTTAGAAAACTGTAATCTAGAAAGCGCTTCTGGATTAAGACAGCGATTTCTAAAGTTCATATTTTGGGCTCATCTGTTTTTCCACACATATTATGCTTTATTAGTAAGATGTGTGTACAGAATGTGGTCTTTAAATATCACTGTCTCGGTGCATTAAGCGCGTTCTTTATATGAGAGGAAAAGGCTTAACGTGTAAATAAACGCGTCGCGTTCACATTTTGATCTTATATGCATATCTGCACATAGTTATGCTTTACAATTTTGTCTTTAGCACTGTCTTGGTACATTAAGCCACTTTAAGCATTTTAGAAAGTCCCGTTCAAGTTCTGCTAATTCACAAGCCTAGTGAGAGTCATGCTCGCAAAGAAGGTCGTTAACTATTAAACCAACCAAATCAAAACGTTCAAAAACACACAGCAATGTGATTCTTTTATTGAGTGAGAGTCAGTGGGTTTAATCAGTGACATTAACAGATTTACTATTCGGCGTCTTCTCCGCGACCTCCTTCCCTTGGAGTTTTTACACATAGAAAAGGCAAAAAAACATATTGCATTGTCCAGTTTTCTCTCAGAACGATGATCTGAGTTACTATTCGGCGTCTTCTCCGCGACCTCTTTCCCTTGGTGTTTTTACACATAGAAAAGGCAAAAACACATATTGCATTGTCCAGTTTTCTCTCAGAACGATGATCTGAGTTACTATTGCAATTATCGATGCAGTATGAATGACATACACTGGTGAATTTTTTCACAATCACGACAAACAATCAAATACTGCCCTAAAATCAATAGCGGAAAGCCAGCGCTATCCTGCAAATATGGCGGATAAACAAAGCAGTTTCCCAGAACTCAACGCGGCGTTACGTCACATTCTCATTCTTTATA